GCGCGGGAAGCTCAAAATGGTGGTTTCGGAACTGGTCAGGGCAGAAGCAGGGCAGCAGCAGGAGCAGGCACCAGCAGTTCGACCTGTTTGTTCTGTTAAGAAAGTTCCTAGACCCTGGAACAACAACGTAGTTTTCTCAACATAGAGTTTGCCCAAACCTCAAATACTTAGAGTAGGGCTGTGGGGTGTATAGAATATCATATCAACCAGGGCCCCCCAAGTGCCCTTTAATAGAGCCCTTATGGTCACTGTTAATGTGCACTAGGGGTATGATAGGAGGTAGTTGGGTCTAGGTAGGAACCCGAAGTAACAATATTGGTAGCTCTTTTCGCCCCTGAATGACTCGATGAAGTCTTCTTCGAGGTACGACGAGTAGAGAATTCCAATGATCCAGGCAATGAAGGCTGGAGGCATGAAGTCCACCAGACGAATGCGCTTGATCTGGAGCTTGGGGCTTTCGTTGCGGGGTATTCTTCCGGGATCTCAGAGGGTTGTCGAAGCCAAGGATGCAGAGGTTGGTGTCAGGGTTTGGGGTTTAGGGCTTAAGATTAGACCCATGGGGTTCTAGGGTTCACTTCAAAGATGGAACTCGTCTTTTTCTTGATTTGGGAGAAACTCGAATTCCGTGAGCTCTCTAGACCCCCAATAGTTCAGGGTTCAGGGTTTAGGGTGCCAATGTTCCCGGAGCCGCTTGGGTTTACACTATAGTAAGTTCCGTGCTAACATGCGGTCGGGGCCTTGCTAGGCTCTAGGGTTTTTGGCTCTGAGTGCCAGCCATTGGGCTTAGGGTATACTAGACATGTAGACACATTGTTCATACAGCCCCTCGTCTTGACAAGGGATCATAGGTTGATTCCTCATATTAAGGCCGCCATTAAAAAGAGGGTGTTTGTCCATCAGAGGTCTACATTAGCAAGGGCAGCAAAAGGCTTGACAGGAAGAGCCTTTTCCACCAACCCCATCTGACAGTCGGGTTTAGGGTTTAGGGCTCAGGGTCTAGGGTTTAGAGTTTAGGACTTCGAAGCCCCGGACCCACAGCACAATACCCTTGAAGCACCTCGGGCTCCTCCTTGCTTGACTGCCTCCCTGCCCTCCCATCTGTGAACTGGCAAATGAGGTTGTGCAGAGACATCAGCGTCCAGCAACCAAAATACCTCGGGCTCGGTTAGGTACATCGTTAACATACCATTACTATACAATAATATACTTGTTAATATGCCATTGACAGACCTTCAGTGTGCCGTAAAATAACATGGTATGCTCATTATTATACCATATATATATATATACACCCTAAACCCTAAACCCTAAACCCTAAACCCTAAAATAAATGGGTACTATGATATAGGTTTCGGGGTTCACGAGGTTTAAGGGACCAGAACTCCGGGTTTCGTGGTCTGGGACTTCCTTCAAGTTCCCACGAGGGCTGTGGCTTAGGGTTTAGGGTTTAGGGTTTAGGGTTTAGGGTTTAGGGTTTAGGGTTTAGGGTTTAGAATTTTTTTGCCAGACATCCCGATTCTGCCGTCTACCATGAACCTAAGGAAGGCTGCAAGACCCGGCAATGATTCAAGGCTTCGGGCTGCCCACGGCGTGGGCTTTAGGGTCTATAGGGTTTACGGTCCACCCAGTGACCACAACCATAAAGGTCTAATTGAATATACTGCTTCTGTTTTTAACTCACAACGACTGCCACATAAACTTGAACCCTAAACCCTTCATAGCCCCAAGCCCTCCCGAAATGCCTATAGCATGCTTACGTAGCTGGACACTTGGAAAACGAAAACTCCAACAACTGCCGGACTAGCAAAATCAAAACCTGTTCTTCAACTTGTGTAAGGTCCAAAAATAATCCTCTGTGTTGGGTGTGTAACAACAGCCGACAGAACACTGGGCTATGGCAATACTACTTCCATATGGGTAGTTCCCTAAATTAGGGTTCCTTTTTAGGTCCCCAATATAGTACGGCACCCTTATCAAATGGACCATGAAAGGGATCTTAATTTAGAGAACTACCCATATCCTGAACCCCAGCCCTAAATCCGAACCCCGAACCTGAACCCTGGGCCTACTAATCCCAGACCCCAGCTAAACCCTAAACCGCTAAACCCCAAACCCTAAATCCTGAATGCTAAACCCTAAACCCTAAACCGCTAAACCCTAAACCGCTGAACCCTAAACCCTACACCCTAAATCATCCCGAACCCCTACACCCTAAACCTCAAGGGTTTGGGGTTTAGGGTTTATAGGGTTTAGGGTTCAGGGTTTAGGTTTTAGGGTTTTAGGGTTTAGGGTTTAGGGTTTGGGGTTGAGGGTTCAGGGTTCTTAGGGTTTAGGGTCTGGAGGATGATAGCAAACAGTATAGGCAATTATGAAAGCCCCTATATTATATTGACTGAGTACCTAAACCCGAAACCCAGAATGTCGGGGAGATCTTAGACCCGTAGACAAACCCTAGATCCTTTGGCAATCATTTAGGCCCCTATATTCATTTAGAGAACTCCCCACTAAACCCTAAGCCCTAAATCCTAAACCGGCTTAGCATAGGTAATGATATTAAGGTCCCCATACTAACTCGCAACAATAGCCCGGAAGCTGTGAGAAGCTGGCAGCCACCATCTGCAGCTGTGTGTCAAATGTCCTGTGCACCAAACCGCGCATATTCAGATTGCCCAAATCCCTAAACCGGTTTGGGGTTGAGGGTTTGAGGTTTACAAGGTTTCGGGCGCGATTGAACTTGTAGGCATTGAGATAGTCTGCACGATGAACTAATATTAGACGAACAGATCTGCGACTGATGCTAATGATGAAGCTTAGGGCTTAGGGTGGGAAACGAAAACAGGATTCTCGGGTTCGAGGTCTTATGGTGTAGGCCCAAGCGTCATGCACTTCTTGAGATAATTCGTCACCTCAACCAAGTCCCGCGCCACCTCTTTTGCTTGCTCGACAACTTTGCCGCACAGAATTCCGAACCAGGCGTTCTCATGAGACTTGGCTGCAGGTTTGGAGAGGATGGGCGCCATGCACGACTGGAAGGAAACAAAAATACGACAGGAATCCAAAGATACTTGGCTACTGGTCTGGGCCTAGACAGCTGCGTGCGGAAAGAGCCATCTAAGCAGAACGCAGAAGTTACGCTGAGTCAGAGCTTATATGGTTTAGCTATCTTCCGGCACCCGGGCACCCTAAAGCCTTGCTGATTTCGGCAGCACAGCAAAATGCGAGTTACTGATCGGCCTTCAAGCTCCTGTCTCCCAAGGGCCAAGGGTAGGGCTTAGGGCTTAGGGCTTTACGAAGATGCCTCTATTCAGAAAGCCCAGAGGCATCAGCGGAATATACACTCAACCTCCTGAGTCAACCTCCGTAAGGATCGCTCTATAATCTCTCAAGGTTTAGGGTTTTTGGCTTCAGGATATTCAAAAAATCCGCAGTTGAGGCTCGATTGAGTTTGCTGTATACCCTAAACCCTAAACCCTAAACCCTAAACCCTAAATCCTAAACCCTAAATCCTAAACCCTAAACCCCTAAACCCCTAAACCCCCAACCCCAAAGCTCCTGAACCCCCCGCCCCATCCCGAGGCTATGCTGCAAGAAAGGTCGCATGCAGTCAGAATATAGGGCTTATTATATGGTTTAGGGTTTAGTTTAGGGTTTAGGGTTTAGGGTTTAGGGTTTCCATAATACCTTTACTATACTTTTGCCCCCGCCGCCCCCCAACCCTCAACCCTTAACCTCTAAACGGTAGCAAAAACCCCAACCACCCTCCATTCTGCCCTAAAATCCCACCATCAAGGACCATAACCCCTAAACCCTACACCCTACAAGCCCTATAAACCTTAATCCTTAACCCTCAACCCCTAAGCCCTAAACCCAAGCCCCTAAACCCTAAACCCCCAAGCTCCTAAACCCGAAGCCTAAACCCTACAATCCCTATAAACCTTAATCCTAAGCCCTAAACCCTAAACCCCTAAACCCTAAACCCCCAAGCTCCTAAACCCTAAACCCTAAACCCCTAAACCCCTAAACCCTAAACCCCTAAACCTTAAACCTTCAACCCTATACCCCATACACACCCTAAGCCCTGCACCGCCACGACCCGGTGTCCTCCCTGCGTGCAACGAACACCGATCTCGGGTTCTCCACCGAAGACCTCTTAGGGTTTAGGGTTTAGGGGTTTAGGGGTTTAGGGGTTTAGGGGTTTCGGGGTTTCGGGGTTTAGGGGTTTAGGGGTTTTGGGTTCTGGGTTTCAGGGTTTCGGGTTTTGGGGTTTGGGGGTTTAGGGGTTTAGAGGTTAGGGGGTGGTTGGGTTTAGATTCCGGTCCTAAGCTTCTGTCTGTGACTGCGGTATCCACATCCATATAGATAAATTTATACACACACACACACACACACGCACACATACATGAATACATACCCTACCCTACCAGACCAGACCCGGACCGGACCGCACCGGACCGGTCCATACCATACCATTCATTCATTCATTCGTTCATTCACTCATTCACTGAAGTGTTAGCTCCAAGGGCCTTGCCCTGAGTGTGATTTGGGAAGCTGGCACTGCTGTCTCGCACCGATCACGGTACGCGTGGGCACGGCCTCAACCATACCATACCATACATATGTGGATGTATATGGATATATATATATATATACACATGTGTAGAGGTAGGTAAACATACGTACATATATACAGACGTGTGAATATATATATATATATATATGTATATATATATATATGAATATGTATGTATGTATATACATATATATATATATGTATGTGTGTGTATGCACAGATACATCTTCCTCTGTGGCTACATGTGACTTTTGCGCCAGTCGAATATGCTCAGCACTCCAAGCTAGGCCACCCTAGGGCCTGCAAAAACTTTGATCCTGGACACTTAAATCGTGTAAGGTTTACGGTTTTGGGTTTAGGGTTTGGGCTCTAGGGTCTAGGGTCTGGGGTTTAGGGTTTAGCTGTTAACGGTCCAGTGCCGAGGTTTATAAAGGGTGTGGGATAGAGGGTCTACCTGTAAGCTCATACACTACCCCTTGTTTAGGGTATCTACTCTTCTATAGAACAGATCCTAACCGTAAAACTAGGTACCCCAAGGAAAAGGGTAGGGTATGAGCCTCTAAGTACAGGGTTCAGGGCATCCTCAGTCTCAATTAAAGCAGATCTCTATCCTCGAATCCCAAAGCCCCAAACCCCTAAAC